ACTTTGAGCCCCTATAGATCCATGAGGGATGGAGCTAGAGAGCTAAGATTTTTAGGATTTTTATTTTTCAAGTACACTTTAAGAGTATATACACTCGGCAACAAAATTATCGCAACAAAAAAATTCATCGAAATTTCGTCAATTTTCAAATGCTTCTATCTTGGGCTAGATTTATTGTATCGACACGCTTTTTTTTTAATTTCTTGGAAATTTTTTCCTCTTCAAATCCATATAAATTAAGATAAGATTCGAGTTAATGTTGAGTTACCAGTAGTATTTGAGCGCGACACTAAAAATTGCTGAAAAAAATGACTGTTTGAATGTGTACCAGTAACACATTAATTTTTCTATCGAAATCTAACATACACCATTGCAAAGTGCTCTTTTGAACGAGTAATTTAAAAAAAAAAAGACCTCTCTACGATTTTTTTAACGCCCTGTAGGTCGATTTGAAGATACCATTTAAAGTACGTAAAATCCCCCGTTTACCTGAAATCAAGACGATTTTCTGGGCATTTTGCGTACATGAACCGTACCTTCAAAACGACCTACAGGGCGTTAAAAAAATCGTAGAGAGGTCTTTTTTTTTAAATTACTCGTTGAAAAGAGCACTTTGCGATTGTGTATGTAAAATTTCCATAAATAAATTACTGTGGTACTGGTACACGTTCAAACAGTCATTTTTTTTCAGTAATTTTTAGTGTCGCGCTCAAATACTACTGGTAACTCAACATTAACTTGAATCTTATCTTAATTTATATAGATTTAAAGAGGACAAGATTTTCAAGAAATTAAAAAAAAAAGCGTCTCGATACGATAAGCCTAGCCCAAGATAGAAGCATTTGAAATTTGACAAAATATCGATGAATTTTTTTGTTGCGATAATTTTGTTGCCGAGTGTACAAGTGTATGTCAGCTCCATTTTCTAGTAGATGAGTAATTATACGCTTGTTTCGAACTTTTGATGCTATGTGAAGAGGAGTATCAAAAGTTTCGTTTATAGTTAAAGATGGATCTATATATTTTTCTAAATATTTTTTTACTATCCTGTCATTCCCATGACAACAAAAATCAGAACTCATCAGTATAATTTACGTTGTAAGTGTCATATAATTTAAAAAGGAAAGGAATGGAAGAAGTCGTGTGGAAACAATATATAAATGGGCTATTCCACAACAGGTGTTGCAGGCCCAAAAAATGAAGTTGAAACTAACCTTTTACTCTTCAAGATCACAATGAAAAATGAAAATCCTGAGCTCCCTAGGTCCAACCCTCATTTATCTACAGTGGCTCAAAGTTGGACTTTCATGTTTTGGGGATATTCTGATTGTTACTCTGCTTTCTAGAGTGCATATGAAAAAATTTCTAAACCATGTTTTTTCATATAAAATTTGATGTAAAATTCTAATCTTTACTCAAATAAGACATTCCTAATCTCAAAACCTCTTATAATTGAAAAAAAAGTGTAAAAAACTATGAAAGTAAAAAGATAAACATGCTCGTATACCTCAAATTGGCCTAATTTGTAATATGTTCATCGATACACCAAAATACAACTTCTGATAAAGTTTGGTGACTGAGTCACCATTACAGATCATTTTGTAGCTTGCAAAGGGCCAAAAATCATGAAAAATGAGGAAAAAAACCATGTTTTTTGGCTACCAAATTGTCTATAATGGTGACTCAGATACTAAACTTTATCAGAACTTGTATTTTGGTGTAACGATGAACATATTATAATATTGACCAATTTGAGGTATACGAACATGTTTGTTTTTGACTTACGTGGTTTTTTACACTATTTTTTCAATTTTAAGAGGTTTTGAGATTAGGAATGTCTTATTTGAGTAAAGATTAGAATTTTACATCAAATTTTATATGAAAAAACATGGTTTAGAAATTTTTTCATATGCACTCTAGAAAGCAGAGTAACAATCAGAATATCCCCAAAACATGAAAGTCCAACTTTGAGCCACTGTAGATAAATGAGGGTTGGACCTAGGGAGCTCAGGATTTTCATTTTTCATTGTGATCTTGAATAGTAAATGGTTACTTTCAACTTCATTTTTTGGGCCTTCAACACCTGTTGTGGAATAGTCCATACATACGACAAAAACATCACAATACTAATATCTAAGTATAGACTTTTAAAAAAGTTTTTTGTTGTCAATTTTGTGTTAAATGTCCATTTTTCTGGTAACTGTAGACTAAAAACATTAAGAGCCGAAAACCTTAAACTATAAAATTATTAAAGACAAACCCTTTTTATCATTAGAAAATAAAAAGTATTTCATTTCAATTTGCAATTATGTACATTAAGGGGGGAAAGGTACCTTAAACCTACATTTATGAAAAATTTATTAATTATGAAGAAAAACATTTTTTTTGGAATATACAGAGAAAACTTTGGTTTCTTCACTCTTTTTTCAAAGTTTTTCTCTGTGGAATATGAAAATTGAGGTCCCAGTCACCATAGAACCCTCCTCGATGAAGCAAGCCCACAGTCCTGACAGGTACCCCTGTGCCGTAGGATCCAGCTAGAACCGATGATTCAATCATGGTCCTTGGGGTCTCATTTTGATCATTAGATGTGTGGTTACAAACGCAAGCACTTTCAGATTTTTTTATTAGTTATACACAATTTGCCAGCCACATATGCACATTTATTCATTAATACTATATAATAAAATACAATTATGCTAGGGATGTAGCCTGAAAAAAGTGCAAATTTTGTCCAATACCTTTGAAAGTGCTTGCGTTTGTAGCCATTCACATGTAGAACAACCCCTGAAAGTTTCAGCTCAATTGCTCAAACGGTTCTCATTAAAAGTTACGGCATGCAAGCAATTTTGAGATTAAACGTAACTGCCCAAGAGTTGAAAAAAACCAAAATACATCAATATATGTCATAATGATACTCTCATGTCACTGAGGCTGCTT